CAAACCCTAAGCCCCAAACCTTAAGCCTTTTTTCTTTCACTTCTGGTGACACGCGCAAGCTACTGCAGCGCACTCTGTAGGCGAGGGTTTGATCAAACCGCTCTAAACATGTTGGGGTTTAGGGTTTAGGGTTTAGGGCAAGGGTTTAGGGTTTAGGGTTTAGGGTTTAGGGTTTAGGGTTTCGGGTTTCGTTTTTTTTTTTAAGGGCTTAGGGCTTAGGGTTTAAGAACCCTACACCTTCCACCCTAAGCACGGAAAGGCCCCACGCGCTAAGGTCACGATGAGCTTGACGACGGTCTTCCTCTTCTCCGGAACCGTCTTCGGGTGGGGCGCCTTCTCCTCGATGCTTCAATCGGCCCCTTGCACGTCAAGCCCGGAACCCTAAAACTTAAACCCTAGGCCCTAAACCCTAAAACGTCTAAACCCTGAAGCCCCAAAACCCATAAGCCTAAGACCCTGGAAGCCTAAAGCCCAATCATGGGACGAAGCAAACCCGGCCCTCTGCCGTAGTAAAGTGAGCTTGAACCTTTATTTTGGGCGAAGGGGTTTAGGGTTCAGGGTTCAGGGTTCAGGACTTAAGGAAGGATGAATCACACCCGCAAGTTGCCTCGTTGTTTTCTAAACCCTTAACCCTAAAACCCTTAGCCCCAAATCCCCAAACCCAAGTCTCCTGAAATCTACTCCTAACCCCTAAACCCCTAAACTCCTAAATCCCTAAACCCCTAAACCCCTAGACCCCTAAACCCCTAAACCCCTAAACCCCTAAGACCCTAAACCCCTAAACCCCTAAACCCCTAAACCCCTAAACCCCTAAACCCCTAAACCCCTAAACCCTAAACCCTAAACCTTAAACCCTACAGGAAGGCTACTACGACTACCTCTGCGAGAACCCGGATCCAAAAAATCCGTGTACCAAGCAGCTCCAGGCACTGAACAATGCGTTCACCTTGGCGGCTCTGCAGAATTGCCTTAGGGTTTAGGGTTTAGGGTTTAGGCCTTAGGCCTTAGGGTTTAGGGTTTAGGGTTTAGTGTTTAGGGTTTAGGGTTTAGGGTTTAGGGTTTAGGGCTAGGGGGTTTAGGAGTTACGGCCCGCTGGTGTTGACGTTGAAGTTCTTCTAGGGTTGGGAATGAGTCCATTGACTAAGGCAACCACCGCCGTGTCGCTGGTGGCCTACTTGAACGGCTCTTCGGTTGAAATTTGTACACACACACATATTATAAGTAACCCCGAACACATCCTTAGACCCTAAACCCTCTTCTTGTTCGGAAACAGCCAGCTAATTCCCCCCTGGTGAAGCCCTATGCCCCTTAAACCTTTCATCCCCCAAACCCCTAAACCCCCTACAGCCCCTTACAGAGAAGGTCAACATACCCCAAACCCAAAACCTGTAACCTTTACACGGAGAATAAAAGGAAGGATCTTACCATACCCCTTAATTTCTTTTGAGGGGTATGCCAAAGGGGTGTTGAATAGTTCTTAGATAAACACTAACCCTAACCCCTGTACCCCTAAGCCCTAAACCCTTGTGGCCAATTGAAGGAATCGTGGGGGCCATCTGCTCCTAGACGTGGGTTTAGGGTTTAGGGTTTAGGGTTTGTTTATGGTTTGGGGTTTAGGGTTTAGGGTTTAGGGTAGCCCCCTTAAGAAATTTTTCTTCTTGTTTACATGAACCCAAGAGAACATTACAAATACGACTGTTTGGTGTAACGGGAGTATAGTTATGACCACGTGTTTGGGTTTCCTTACTTTGTAGGAGTACAGAAAGCTTAAACCTTAAACTCCTAGGCGTGTCCAGAAGTTTATAGGGCTGTTAGCGGCTTAGAGGCGAAGAAGCCCTGACAACCTAAAAACCTCAAATCCTTAAACCCGAAAAGCCTTAAGCAAACCCTCATATCAGCAAACCCTAAAACCCCTAAACCCCTCAAATCCTAAAACCCTAAAACCCTATAAAACCCCAAATCCTAATACCCTGAACTCTCAAATCCCAAAATCCTAAAGCCATCAAAGCCTCAAATCCTAAAACCCGAAAACCAGACCGTAAACCCTAAACCCTAAACCCCAAACCCCAAACCCTAAACCCTAAACCCTAAACCCTAAACCACAGAGGTTGGCTGGTGGACTCCCTGGGACCAACCAAGGTCACCGTCATCGCAGGCCAGGGTTCAGCGTTTGATGGGCCTTTAGGGTTTAGGGCTAGGGTTTAGGGTTTAGGGTTCAGGGTTTAGGGTTTAGGGTTTAGGGTTTAGGGTATAGGATTTAGGGTTTAGGGTGTGGGGTTGAGGGTTGAGGGTTCAGGGTCTAGGGTTTCGGGTTTAGGGTTTGGGGGGTCACATGGTTTTAGGGCTCGGGTGTTTTTTTGGGTTTAAGAGCTCGGGATTTTGTTGTCATGGGATTTAGGGCCGAGCCTGTGTGATATGAGGCTTAGGGTCTCGGGCTTCGGGGAGGGGAATTTCGGCAATGGGCCAGGGGCCTCCATGCTTTGCATCTGTCGGGCGTTTGCGTCTTCCCTTGCCTTTTCTGTGTATCTTCCGAATCGGAAGAAAACCCTAAACCCTAAACCCTAAACCCTAAATCCTAAACCCTAGGGTTTGAATAAACAGCCTGAAGTAGGTATTGTTTACAGACTTTAGACCCCATTTTAGATTTTATTAGCGAACTTGGGAGCCCCAGAAGAAGGACCACTCCCCTAAGCCCTAGACCTCAAACCCGAACCCTAACTTGATTGGGTTTTGGGCACCACTTTTGGCTCACCACAACCAACCCTGAACGCTAAACCCTAAACCCTAGACCCTAGACCCTAAACCCTAAACCCTAAACCCTAAACCCTAAACTCTAGCCTCAGCCCATCAGCGAGAACTCACAGACGCGCTGCCCTCATCATACCATATCAGACCACATGGGTCTTCTCCAAGCAGGCTCCCTTTTTGGGCTCCTTCGTATGGTATAGTACGGCACCCCTGAAAATAAGGATGCCCCCAAAAGGGGGCCCTAATTTAGAGAACTACACATACACGCCCAACGTTTTGGGTTGACAGGTTTCGGTTTGAGGTTGAAGGGCTTAGGGTTTAGGATTTAGGGTTCGGGGTTTAGGGTTTAGGGGCCATCATCCTAGCCCTGCGTCGAAACCCATGATGCCCCAAATCCCAAATCCCAAATCCCAAGCCTGAACCCCAAACCCTAAGCCCCAAGCCCTAAACCCTAAACCCTAAACCCTAAACCCTAAACCCTAAACCCTAAACCCCACGCTGAGGTACCCTGAGTTCCTTGGGACTTCTGGGAATCGCCTTGACCAAGGTCGGCGGTTGGTCAAAGCAGGAGGCCGGGTTTAGGGTTTAGGGTTTAGGGGTTAGGGGTTACAGTAGGGGTTTAGGGTTTAGGGGTCAGGGTTTAGGGTTTACGGGGGACTAGGGTCCAACAGTGTCCCTAAACCCTGAACTTTACTATCAACCACACCCTCAACCCGTTTGGGGGTTTCGGGTTTAGGAGGCGCTCCTGAGCCATGATAAACGGCTTGTGCATCGCATGTGGCTTCTTCTATTGATGCTGCCGTAAAAGTGCAAAATCAGTTTTGCGTTCACCAAACAAAAGATACCCAAAACACTACACTCTAAAGCCTAAACCCTGAACTGTTTCGGGCTCTAGATGCCCATGACAGGCAGAGGGCGGCGGTTTCGACATCTTCTTGTGGTCCACGGTGCTAACAGCCGTCGGCGGATCCATGACAATGCCGCTTGGCGGGTAACACCTAAACCCGAAGCCCTAAACCCTTTAAAGCCCAAGCCCCAACCCTAAACCCAGTTGCCCAGTGCCCGGGCTTAAGGTTTAAAACCCTAAACCCTAAATCGTGTTGTGGACCCAGCGTCCGTGACGTAATGTTGGACCCAGTTTAGTGGGGGCCTCCTCTTTAAAGTCAATTTTGCTGAATTGTTCAGGACACCCTGACTGTTTGCGGGTCCCTCTTTAAAGTCAAACGGTTCCCGAAATCCGGCATTTTTTTTGGAGGATTTGCGGCTTGTTTCGGCCCCCTTTAAGAAGCCATTTGAAAAATTGGTTTCGTTCAATCCGACAGGGGGGTGGTCCAGCAGCCCCCCTCAACCCCGAATAATGGGACTGATTTGGGACCCTGTTTTATGTCAAGGCCCCGGCCCGGAAGCTCCGAATTTGGAAAAAGCCTATGGATCCCTTTTAAATTCATATAGACTCATCCCGGATCCCTTTTCGATTCGCGCGGATCCCTTTTAATTCATGTAAGCTCATCCCTTTGAAATTCATATGGATCCCTTTTAAATCTATCTAAACTCCTCCCTATTACAATCGTATAAAATCCCGGGCCCGTTTCAGGGGGAGGGGGGGGGGGCCAACACATTAAACCGGGTTCAACATAAACGTATCAGATCCATGAACAGTGCTGAGCTGCTGGTCGACTAGGCGCTTAGGGTTTAGGGTTTAGGGTTTAGGGTTTAGGGTTTAGGGTTGTAGGGAAAGGGGAAGCCGTTGAAGTATGTGGGGTCAGTGTTTAAGGTTTCGGGGTTTGGGAGCTTGCGCGTGCAGGACTTTGGAGTCTCGGGGCGGGGGCAGTTCTCTGCATGACCTCGGCAATGTTTGGATTCTTGAATTTATTGCAATCCAAGCCTTAGAGTCCTAAACCCTAAACCCTAAACCCTACACCCTACACCCTATAAGCCCTAAGCCCTGAACCCATGATCTGAGGTTCATCGGCTACCAAGCGCCCTTCATCATCCCTTCGCGTGCCGTTGCAGCAGCCGAGCTGGCCATCCATCTCCCAAACAGTAAACTCGGTTTAATCCGAGACCCCAAACCCTAATGACAAAACAAAGAGAACGAAACCGAACCCCAACCGAAAGAAGACCCTCGGGGCCCCCGCCTGCTGTGCACGACCTCGCGCACGTTTTCCTCTGACCAAAAGCCTGCGGGCGGATCTCGTCGACGCCTTGCAGAAAGTTGGGTTTATCACTGCTTAAAAATTCTCTTCCCCCCTTCAACGATGCTTCGTCGCATCCTTGGAAATAAATGGAAGTCTCACTGCTCCCCACACGGTCGCCCACCATGAATCAGCACACTTAGGTTTGGTAAGGATATCAGCAAGTTGGAACTCGGTGGGGACCCAAAAGAGTGGAGGTTTGCCATTGGCTTGCTCTTCACACAGATACTGCCTCAACGCAGCGAGATCTATGGCTAGACGTTTGTCTGAAGGGATCCTTGGGATGCCTTCTCGATGCAAATGGTCGAATAGTGATTTGCAATCCGTGATGCACTTCAGCTGACTGCCGCTCAAGTCCTGTACACGTTGGAGGCGGCCGCGCAGCACTGTTTGCACAAAGGATCTCACATACTGCCCCATCTCGATGGCCTCGGAACAGCCTGTGGTTTCAGCCCCGAACGTTGAGCGACACACCCTAGGGTTTGCCGAACTCTTCCAGTCAAGGATGCTTCCTATGCCTCCTCCAGCTGAGTACTGCTCTCCATCGGTCAAGAAGATGAGGCTTCCGAACTGGCTGGCGACCTTGGAATTCGCCCGTTTGGCCTTTCTTTCTTTGATGTCAAAAGGTGTATTCTTCATGACGCCGCTGACATGGTCCTCGTACTCGAGGCGGAAACCATCCTCACCCGTGAGCTCTGCATTCGCCCATGCCGAGTCGTGGTACACTAAAAACTCTAGGCTCTCAAGTTTCAAAGGTCGTAGCCAAATCCCTTTGTCTCGGTGATCCCACGCTCGTCGCGCTATCTGGTTGGTGAACTTCAGGTCAGCAACGCTTGGGTTCTTTTGGAGTTGTTGTGCAAGCGAAACTGAGCATTGAATATCGGGACGACTCTGGGATCCAAGCCAGGAAAGGGCGCCGATGAGAGACTGGTTGTCGATTCGTTGTTCTTCAGAAGCAGGCTCTTCATCTTCCTGCCCCTTGCCGATGTCGATTTGGAACAGTCGCCCTCCAGCATACGCCTCTTGACTGATGAAGACACCTGAGTCATTCACCTCGATGTGGCTTCCAATGTAGTCGAAGCTGTTGATCTCCCAGTCGTCGACTGGGAAGATGCTCGAGAGGGCATTGCGAATAGCTTCGGACATCTTCTTGTCGCCAGCAACCAGGATGTCATCGACATGTACTCCGGCATACGCTGCCGGTTCGCTAGCTTCATTATCGGACGGAACAAGCTGAAAAAGGCAAGGGTCAAGCGCATTCTGCACAAACTTGTACTCAACGCCCTCTACACTTAGCCGCACTGCTAACATGTCCTTTCGGAAGCGCCTCCACCATTTGCGAGGACTGTCAGGAAGGCCAAAGATACCTTTGGTGATTCGTAGCAGTTGGTCTGGATGTAGAGAAGCAAGACCTGAACGGGGCTGTCTGAGATACAAGACCCTTTCCAGAGCATCTCCGTTGAGAAAAGCTGCAGTAATGTCACCTGCTGATGCCTCCCACCCATGAGATTGCCTCCGACTTGCTACAAGCTGCATGATGGTGAGCACCGATAGTCTGTTGATGGTAGGCGCGTCGGTGTCTAGGAGACCGATATCTGGATCGCGGTGTCCAGACACGACGATCCTCGCCTTCAGTTTCCAAGGAAGACTAGAATCAAGCTTCCGCCGGGACCAGTTCTTGTCTTTGTAGGCAAACCTTGAAGACAGGATACGACTTTTGTCCACACACTCACGAACACGAGCACTTTCTTCGAGCGACAAAGGCTCCAGGGCCTGATACTTGATGTGTTCGTCGTACTGTTTCTCCTCTGCTTGTCGGAAGACACTATGTTGTTCTGGTGGGATTACTGCCCAGGGGATCTCCTTCTCGTATTGTTTTTCGAGGGACCTGGCTGTACGGCATTGTTTTAACATGTGAACCGACTGGACTCCAGGCCCTTTCTTCCTAACTCTCTTGGGGACAGGAGGAGGTACAGGAGCTTCGAGTTCTCGTCGCTCGCTGGTAGGCCTATCTTCTGCAGTGAGTTCATCTTTCAAATCCTCGGGTTCGAGATCGAATTGAAAATCCATTTCATCACCCTCAAGTTGTTCTTGTCCTTCGTCTGCATCAATGTCGTCAGCATGATCTTCATCTTCATACGTAGCGGGGTCATCGGGATCTAGGTTAAGAAGTCGTTCAAGATCATCGCGGGCAATCCTGGTGGTTAGGATTTCTCCAAGCTCTTCAGAAGTGCTAGGACGGAGATGTTCTTCAGCAACAAGATGACACCGCCCACCAAAAGAAACCCACCAGTTACCACCTTCATGTCCAATGATCGTTCCGGGCCCCCGCCACTTACCTCGTTTGAAGTTGGACTTTGTCCCTCCTTTGTCAACTCTGAAAAAGCACACCAACTCCCCGACGCAGTACCCTCCACGCTTAACTCGAGCCCGCTGGATAAGTGCACGACGAAGCTTCGAATCAAGTTGTGTTCTGTAAAAGGCGATCCTGGCCGAGGCACGAATATGCATCTCCCGTTGTCGTTGGCGATCATGTGAAAGTATTTCCAGGTATCGTTCTTCGTCATCGCCAGCGCACAGTTCTCCTGGGATTTTGGGATCTTTTCCGAACACAGCTTGGGTTGGTGAGAAACCATGTCTCCGGCGCAGCTCGTTCTTAGCTGAGTTCACTGCTTGCAAGGCATAGTAAAGGTCGCTAGCGTCGATGGACTTCTCATCTATGACTTTTCTGAGCATAGCCTGATACCAGAGGCCATGACGCTCTATGAGTCCTTGCTGCCAATGGGCCTGGCCTGCAGCGGGGCGAAGCCGGCATCCATGGAATTCAGCATAGTTCGCCAGCCCGGCCTGTAGACCAGTTTCCAAGTCTGCAGCAATTGTTCCTGGTGCCCCAAAAACAGATCCCCACATCTGAGTGAACTTCCGCTCAAAGGCTTCGGCAGAATGCCCTTCAAGCTCTCCGACAAGATGGAACGTTGTAGCATGGTCTATGACGGACAGCAACGAATGTTTCACCTGGGCTGCATCGAAAACTGTGAAAACGTCGACGCTCACGAGCTGGTTGAAATCCAACAAAGATGGCAAACACGCAGGCCTCGCTGAAGCTGATTGCTTAGCACGATCACAAACCTGACAACGCAGATGTTTGCATGCTTGTATGACTGTTCTTCAGCTCCAGCAAGTCTCAAATGTCTCGCTAGGTCATGGTTGCTTGGGTGGCCGAGGTTCTGATGAAGTCGACCAAGGGAAGCCTGAACGGGCTTGGGGACCTGAGCGTCAAACTTGATGTTACTAGTCCTTGCGGCATCTAGTCTTTCAGGAGGTACAGCTTGGGGTTGTTCGCCTTCGGGATCCTGCTGTTCGATCTCTCCGACATATACCGAATGAGGCCCTTGCTGCAGAACTCCAGGTTGCGCAACACGAAGCACTTGAAAGCCTTGAGCGTCGACATCTAACTGGGTCTCATACATGTTAAGCAAGCTGTCGAAGGCATGGTCTCTCCACAGCATGTGTTCTTTGTTACCGCTGAGAACGAATATACCCCCCAAGAGGATCTGATTCAACGCAGCGGAGAAGACCTGGGATGCGATTTCGTTGGACTTGGCATCGGTGATCTCGTCGTGACCTCGAATCCAGACAACACATGGGTGTAGGGCATGTATGGTTTCGAGAACTCTCTGGCAATCTGAATCGTTGACAAAATCCTCCCACGAGACCGGTTCTATGACTGAGCTGCCGTTTCCTGCAAGGGTGTAGGTAGCAGCGAAATCTCCAATTTCCAGGATTGATGGTCTGTCTGGGGATGAACTCGGAAGCATTACCTCGGCGACGTAACTCGAAGCTGCCGTCATACTTAAGGTCAACAGTGCACTTGCTCGGCTAGCCCCTCGCATGATCTGTCTTCTGATGCTCTTCTTGGGTCGCCGGACGTGTTCGTTTTTCCAGGATTTGTCCTCAACGGCGATCTTCGTGGGGGTATCCTGCCCAACGGGGAAACCAAAACTTCTCAGCATGTCCCGTTCTTGTCGTGCCAGTTGCGACACCCCACGTGTTGTGTAAGCAGTAATGCTGATACGATCCCCTTCCCACTCTTCTACGCCATGTTTACGACGACCATCGAACTTCACGAGCGCACGAGTGTCGACAAGGTGTCCTGAAAGAGCACGCCCTTCGCCATCTGACATAATGTGGGGGACACCGATCTCTGGCACCTGGGCTTCAGGATCCGTTTCTATCCACAGACGACCGCCGCGGAAATTTCCGAAGGAGATGGTGCTTGCAAGGGTGTCGCTATGGTTGTGCTGATCACGATGTACAAGAGGACGACAGTTCACATTGATCTGGAGGGAACTCCAGGTACCCTTGGCCCCATGTGCCCGCAAGAAAGCATTCATGTAGCGCACAACATAGACATGGTCGAAGGTCTTCTTAATGATGCCGTGGAAGTTACCATGACTATAGGCCCCAAAAGCAATCGAGCTCCCCTGTTCCCCATGAGCTTGCCTTCGTCTACTGTTCCTAGCATGTTCACACACTCGGCGGGCCAGTTTTTCACAACTCTCGAAGCTGTAATCCTTGGTGCGCAAAAGGTCTTGTGCAACGACTTCAAGAGGTAGCTCTTCGGCACTGGACTCTCGACACTCATAGAAGGTTTCAGGGGCCCCGGTAGCATTGGCCTCCATACCGCACACATCTAGGACCCCTTCGGCACTAGCGTCGTTGTCGAGGTCAACATCACACGAGAGAATCACATTCCATGCTTCTCCTTGAGCAGGGCGATCCTGGTGGTTAGTGCCTCGAGTTCCTCTCGTACCTCCGGGGGAGTGTCTTGGGCCATCTTGCTCTCCTCGGATTCGATGCCGCGCTTGGCTCCCATCTGCTTCGCTGTCGGGACATGGTTCTTGCCCTGATTGTACCCGCTTGCCATGGCCTCCGAAGTCCCCGTCACCAAAGACCACTTCGTTGAGGTCGAACTCGTCTCCTCTGGATCCGGTTGGTAAGGGATTGCAGCACTCATCTCTGGGTCGTGGTACGTCTCCTTCTGAGGATTGAGGACCTTCTGGGCAAAGTTGGCTAGCTGCCTCAACTCGTGGGACGCCCCCGATCCCTGCGCTGCTGTTTCCTGAAGACTCCAGCGAAGATACGAATGTGGGAGTTCTCTGAAGAGCAAGTTCTTGTACCTCCCGAACGTCACGATCTGTTCCGACAGATCTCTTGTCGAGTCTCGTATGATCCTCTGAAGGAGTCCTCGGGTGGGCTTCGGTGGAAGCGGGATCTGCAGCTCGTCCATCTTCTTGACTAGCTCGGGCATCGTCATTGAAGAGAGACCTCTCGGGACGCTGGATGGACCATGTAGTTCCTTTCTCTTCTCTGACACCAGCTGACGTATCTCTTCCTTGCCCCATGTAGTGTGTATCGGCACTTCCAGCCGATGAGCTTCTTCTACCAACTCGCTCCGGCTCATGTTCCAGAGCGTCTTGGCCTTCTGCGACGACATGTTCCGAACTGCTGCTCTGAAAAGGGGTACGAGGGAACACAGTCCTACCGACCCAAAGAGCTGAATGGGCTGACTCGGGTGAACTCTGCCATGCGTCATGTCGACTCGGAAGGAGTTGCAAGGACTGACATGCTATAGCAGTGGTGCTTCGGAACGACCCGACGTTGTGGAGGAGTTTATCTCGAACGTTGCTCTGACTTGTGTGCCATGCATCGGGGGAGAACAGTGCTTTCCGGGGAATGACGTGTATTCGTATGAAAGAAGAAGCCGTTTCTATCCAGAAGTCCTTTGCAAGCTTGGTCTCACTCCACCAACGCATGAAAACATCAGTGTTCAAAGCCTCGGCACTCAAGAAGTTGAAGACAAAGGGCGATAACTTCTTCGGATAAAAGATAGTCTCGAAGGGCTGGGAGAGGTTCCGATCGGCACCTCCATCGGCAACACATGCTGACTCACAGCTCCTGGAAGTAGCAAAGGTTGATGCAGAGGCCCTCTCACTACTCTCACATGTCATGGTCATGTATGCAGCATGAGACTCGCTGGAAGGAAGGAGTCGCACTTCGTCCCCGGCCCACTCCTGGGGCGTTGGGAGAGCAAACGTCGGGAGCCCTTTCACTCGTACGGGAATAGCCGGATGTCCATTTTCCGTCGTGAGGAGCTTGAGATCTTGTACTCCAAGGTGACGAAACGAGGCGCTGTGTCCTTCAACATCATAAAGCATGCCAATCTTGCTCAGGACGTTTCTTGACAGGAGAAGGGGGACCTCTCCCTGGACGATGGAAGCCCTGACCAAGAAGCCGCGTCCACCAACGAAGATCGCAATCGTGGCAGTGAAGGTAGCCCGGAAAAGCTTGGAGGCCCCGAACCTGAAGTCGTCCTGGGTGTCGATGAACTGCATCTCAAGGCCCGCTTCCCGGCCAGCCAACATGTACTTCTGGAGCCACGCCTGTCCCGCCACAGATTTACTGCGTGCGGAGTCGGTGATGGCGACCAAGCCCTGACCACCCATGTAGCCGACCTCATAGGCAACCTGCACCACAAACGCCTCCTTGGAGCTGTCCTTGGCGCCCGAGGAACCACCAGGCTTCGTCATCTGGCCTCCAGGCTGATTCATTGGGCACTCTGGGTCTTTGTGCCAGTGCCCCCTGCGGCGGCATCCAGCACAATACGAGCGACTTTTGGCAAGCTGCAACCTGGCCTCAGGAGTATCCTTGTTGCTGGCTTCGTTCCTGGAACCATCCTTGCGAAGAAAACTAGGATCCACTCCCCGAGCCTTCGTGATCTCCCTGTACCGGGCCTTGGCTGACTCCTGAGCCATGAACGCCTCGTGCATCTCAGAGGCCTCTTCCTCGGTCATCAGGTGCTCTGTCTCCTCCTCGGCAATGTCGTCCTCGTCAATCTCGGTCAAGAAGGCACCTCGCACAGGTTTTCCTTTGCCCCCATCAGGATTGCCGTTGCCGTTGCGCCTCACGAACCACGGGGGCTTAAAGGACTTCTCGTGGAGGACTGCTGCCTTCTGCAACTTTGCCGTATTGTACTCATTGCCCACGGAAGCAAGGAGGGCAAGTTCCTCTGCACTCGTGAGGCCGAGGGCATTCAAGTACGCCCAGGCCTTTGCGACTTCAGGGAGGCGACAGTCGATCTCCAATAAGCGGGTGTGGCCACGGTCGAATGCTGAGTTGAACTCACGGATACTCTGACCTCCTTCACGTCTCAGCTTCTTGAAGAACTGAGTCAAGGCCTCGGCTATCTTCGACACCTCGATCTCCTGGTACCTTTCCTGGATCCATCTCTTAAACTCCTGCACGCCGTACTCGGAGGCCAACAACTCGACACTGAGCTCTTCAGACTCCACCCACGCTCTTCCGCTAAGATTTTGGTAAAGCAAGAGGGCTCTTTGCGACGCCGGAGTTCTCGTCACCTTGCACCAGGCATCGATCTGCCTCAGGTACGAGCGGGCTGAGCTGCCAAGCTCATCCCCTGTCTTGTCTGCCGAAAAGCTCGGCACAGCCATCCGCTCACTCAGGCCACCTTTGAAGTCCTGGCCTTCTTTCGAGGTCGTAGTAGGGACCGGGGGCGTGGTCGTGGAAGTCCCGGAAGTGGTTTCCCCAAGGCTCCCTCTCCGCTCTCTGTCAGGACCAGGAACACGATTGTTATCTGGGCCCTGTGCATCTCGGTCTCCGTAGTCACATCGGCCACCACTACCTGGCGATTGTGCCTCGCTGGCACCACTCCCACGAGATTCACCCGAGCCTCTGCCCGAGCCATCGGAGGCCTGGTCATCAGGACGACCGGCCTGTCCCTCAGGCGGACCTTGGTAGTGGGCCCACGGATCTGTTGCATCACGTTGATCGTTCCTGCCAAAATGGCCGGAATCTTGACCCCCATTTGGACGCCTAGCACCATCCCTATCATCCCAGGCATCATACCACCACTGCCGCCCGCCATAGTAGCCATCTCCAGTCCACCACCCAGCGCTACGCCAAGTAGACTGTCCCCAGGCCCCATGCGAGCGATCCCAAGTTCGCCAAGGATCATCATGACGCCAAGGATCACCCTGACGCCCGTCAACGGTCATGTGAGGACTAGGATCTGCCGCAGGCACATTCGTGTCAAGAGAGGGTGCATGCTGATCTGGTGCTGCACTGTCTTGCCCGGCAGTAGGCACATGGCCATCCGAAGCCTTGCACACAGGCTTTGCCTACACCTCCCACCACGAAACAAGACGAGAACAAACAAGGGAAGACAAGACAAACAAACCAACGAACCACCAGCCTAGCCCAGGACCGCGGCCTAGGCTCCGCTACCAATGACAAAACAAAGAGAACGAAACCGAACCCCAACCGAAAGAAGACCCTCGGGGCCCCCGCCTGCTGTGCACGACCTCGCGCACGTTTTCCTCTGACCAAAAGCCTGCGGGCGGATCTCGTCGACGCCTTGCAGAAAGTTGGGTTTATCTCTAAACCCTAGCCCTAAACCCTAAATCCTAAACCCCAAACCCTAAACACGACCTAAAACCGTTGCAAACCTTACCCGAAATCCTAAGGTTAAATAGCTCCGAGGCCAGGCAGACAATTCCCCCAAACCCTCAAGCACTTTAACCCCCGCCCCCCCCCGCTCCATCCCCTAAGCCCAAAAACCCAAAACCCTAAACCCCAAACCCTAAACCCTAAACCCAAAACCCTAAACCCTAAACCCTAAACCCCAGAAGAGTTGAGCCCCAACTTCAAGGCCATGAAGCACTGCGCGCCTGCCCAGGCTTCACGCTCCTAAACCCTAGACCTTAAGCCCTAAACCCTAAACCCTAAACCCCGCCCAGGCTTCACGCTCCTGATTGAGGTGAACAGCTGCCTCTTCGATGCTGGCACCATCATCTTCCCCATGTTGAAAGTACTCTACGAGTCCCTGACAGCTTAGAGTTTTTTGTGGGGGTGGTTTAGGGTTTAGGGTTTGGGGTTTAGGGTTTAGGGTTTAGGGGTTTAGGGTTTTGGGGTTTAGGGTTTAGGGTTTAATTTGGTGCTTTTTACTCATTCTTCATAGCAGAGTACATTGCAGAGGCCCCCTGACAGTGTAGAGTCTTTGGGGCTTGTTGACAGGGAGGGCTTTCCAGGAGAGAAACGAAGGCATAGGGTATTTGCGATTTAGGGGTTAGGGTTGAGGAGCCCTATTCCCTAGCCCTAAACCCTAAACCCTAGCCCTAAACCCTAAACCCTACCTATAGTCTCTCAGCCAAAGGACCTGGGCGTGCCGTTCCAGGTCTTCTTCTGGGCTTACACCGTGCTTGGCGTCATTTGCTATGGCCTCTTCTCCGTTTCCTGGGGCATGAACCAGAAACTTAGCGCGTTTAGGGTTTAGGGTTTAGGGCTTAGGGTTGAGGGCGACTTTATCTGCGGTTCGGGTTGAGAGGGTACAGGGTTTAGGGTTGAGGGCTTCGCAGCCAGAAACTTGGATGTTTGCCACAATGGGGGGTCCCCCCAAATCAGCCCCAGAGCACGGTCATCCCAATTCGAGGAACCCCTAAAATTGGTACCCCTGTTCTTCGGAAGCACCCGGAGAGCGCGACTTTCGTTGGTTTAAGGTTGAGGCCCTTTAGGGTTTAGGGTTTAGGGTTTAGGGTTTAGGGTTTAGGGTTTTGGGTTTCGGGCTTCAAATTTCAGGGTTCGCTTTTAGGGTTCAGAGTGTTCGGGTCTGTTGGGGTTTAAAGTCCTGGCTGTGGGGTTTGTTTGCTGGCTCCCCTTGAATCTTCACCCTGAACCCTAAACCCTAAACCCTAAACCCTAAACCCTAAACCCTAAACCCTAAACCCTAAACCCTAAACCCTAAACCCTAAACCCTAAACCCTAGACCCTAAACCCTAAACCCTAAACCCTAAACCCCTTCACGTTGCCAGAGTTTCAAGGCAAGGTGCCGAAACCTATGCATGGACTTCTACCCTGAAGCCCCCTGACAACTGCCAGCGACCAGTGCCTGAGCCAAAGCGCCAAGAACCCAAAGCTCTAAGCCCGCCATAAGCCCAAAACCCAAGACCCTAAACCCTAAACCCTAAACCCTAAACCAGCCTAGACACCCCCTTCACCCCCTGAATGCGAGGAAAGAGCTGAATGACGTTCGTGCTGCTGCAGGCAGCTCAATGATCTGGTCGAAGAAAGGTTTAGGGTTTAACTGGGTTTAGGTTTAGGTTTAGGGTTTAGGGTTTGGGGTTTGGGGTTTAGGGTTTAGGGTTTAGGGTTTAATTTTAACGCTACGCGACCCGCCTCGGCCCGGCCCAGCGCATCCGCGTGAGCATGGTGATTCCGCAGCGCCCAAGTCGCTGGACCCCAAGCAATAAGGGTTGGGTTGAGGGTTGAGGGTTGAGGGTTGAGGGTTCCGGGTTTATGGTTTATGGCTTGAGGGTTTGTTTAGGGCTCAAGGTTCACGCTTTGGGGTTGAGGGTTTTTTTGGGTCTAGGGTTCGGCTTGGAGTGATCGTAGGGTTGAGCCAGGCCCCTTAAGGTTTAAGGCGGCTCTTCGGCAGGGTGGGGGGGAGGGGGGAGGTGGGGTGGGGGGAGGTGGGGTGGGGGGAGGGGAGGGGGGGGGGAGGGGGGGAATAGGGGGTGTGGGGGGGGGTAGGGGGTAGGGGGTGTGGTGGGCGGGACGCCCTGCTGGGGTGGGCTGCAACTGCCTTTGGTCCTGGCGAGACATCCGCTTGCGGACCCTCCTCTCCTAGGGGGGGTACCCATTTGAAGCAAAAAAAGGGGGCCGAAAAGTGGCTTTGGGCCTGGGGGGAGGATTTGGAGGGGGGTGCCTGTTCTGACAACCTATACACCTTCGGCCCGAGGCCTCGGCGGATTAGGGTTTAGGGTCTAGGGTCTAGGGTGTAGGGTTTAGGGTTTAGGGTTTAGGGTTTAGGGTTTAGGGCCCCCTTTAAGCCAACGGTGTACCCGTTTTGTCTTCCTAGGTTGCTCTTGGGTCTAGGGCTTTGGGTTTAGGGTTTCAGGTTTTCTGAGTTTACGATTCGGTTTAGGTTGCTAGACCCTAAACCCTAGACCCCCGGCACTGTGCGCAGGGGTTCAGGGCAGGTGCCTCACCTCGACTCTGGGTTTAGGATTTCGGGGTTGGGTTAGATGCTCCGTATCTGGGCGAAGTCGTGATGACAAAGCCACCCCCCCCCCTTCAACAACAAGCCCATGCAACCACAGTGGCGACAAAGCCACCCCCCCCCCCCCC